GGTACATGGAGATTATCTTCTGCGTAGCCGACCGCCTACACGAAGCCCAGGAAAACGTGGGCGCTTGCCGAAAGGACGAAGAGAGCACCCTGGGGTTCGCAAATACCGCTGCAGCGGAAAGCTGGCTAGAACGAGTGCGCTGCTGGGCGGCCGCTGTGAGAGCCGATTTGGAGGCCGACTCTATCTCCTCGCCGACGGGGAATCCAGACTGCAGGTGGTTGGTCTACCGCAAGGGCATCCTCTCCTCCGACACGAGCGACGCCGCCGATGGTGCTGGCACGACGGCGTGGATGTGCAAGCATTGCGTCGCTGCGCTGCGGGAACTCGGCGGCCCCCCCGAACGACGCCGCCCCCGCGTTCGCGCGCCTCCCGCCGCGCTGATCAACGGCATGTGGCGCGGACGTGACCCGCGTGAACTCGACGACTTGGCGTGCGCGGAGGGGAAGGTCGTGAACCTCGCCAAAATATATGTCAGCGTGAAGCGGGTGTTCCTGGACAAGAGGCCCTACGCTCCCGCGGCTACATCCACGGCGCCGACGTACCGCCAGGTAAACGTCGTAGCCTACCCGCAGAGCCCTGACGCTGCGCTGACGGCTCTGGGCATGCTGCCAGCCGCGCTGGCCCAGACCATGCTGGTGCAGTTCGTAGGCGCCGTAACCGACGATCTCCGTCGACACCCCGAACTGCAAGTGTCGGTGAGGCGCCTGCGCGACGCATTTCGATGGCTCTCCTCGAACAACTGGGCATTCATGCTCGCCACCAGGCACCGCGACACTTGGCGCGACGGTACTTTGCACGCTGTGTTCGAAAACCTCTTGGACGCTTACAAGACAAGTATTGGGAGCACCGAAGGCGTTCCAAGGGAGGTGCTCGCTGCGGCGACGCCGGCATCTGCGGCGAAAGCCTCCGTGGCCTCAGAAGGGGCCTGCTGATTGCGGAGATGGCACCGATCCCGTTCGCGACCAGAGTGATGTGCGCGAGGACACTAGTGCAGCAGTGGTGAATGGTGGCATGGACGACGTTACGTCATTGCGACTCTGGACGCAAGTCGTGGAGAACTTCGAAGTGGCACAGCGCCTCCACGACGAGATCAGCAAGCTTTCCAGCGACACGGACCCGTCCGCACGCGCCCACAAGAAGATGCGGCACAACGAGGCACTCGCCCAAGCAGTTGACACCATGCAGCGGATGTCCAGCGCCCATGTCCGAAAGGAATTGGAAAAATGGGCCGCGGGAGAGAAGTCCGAGATGCCGCCGGTGAAAATCACTCACGGCGATCAGTTCGTGTCATCCCGGACGGAAGCGTTCTGGGGCGCTTGCTTCGTCCGCCTTTTCCCGCGCGGGGACTGTCAGGAGACGTGCCCGCGGAGAACGACTCGCCTTCCTTCTGCCCAATGGGCGAAGGCTTTGCTCACTCGGGCCGATACGACGTGCTGGCGGCGAGACGTGGAATTCGTAGCCACCGTTTTCAACGCGTTCCTGCGGCGGGGCCAGATGGCCAACGTGGAGGCCCACGTCAAATCCACAGGCCACGGTGGGGTCACTGGCATGACGGCAGACGAAGCCCAGGCACTCACAAAGCTCACGGCCGAAGGCCTCGTTTCTTCTGCCGCCGCAGCAGGCGACGCCACCAGCGTCCGCGAGCTTCTCAGAGAAAAAGGTCTCGATCCTGTCGTCCGGAACGCCGCCCAGAGGATGAACCTCGTGCTCCGACGCGTCCGGGGCTCCGCCGAAGAACGGGACGGATTCATATGGCGATTTCGAGCTCTGCGCGTCTGGTCTGGGTGCTCATCCTTATTTTTCACACTGAACCCACGCGACATTCGGAGCCCCCTGACCGTCCTTCTGACGCAAGGCGACCTTACCGTTGCCCGTGAGTTCTCTCTTGACAAGAGCGAGACTGAGGCCGCAGAATGGATGGCCGATTTCAACCAGGCGGACCCGCGAGCCTTGCACACCTTCGTGTCGCAGGACCCGCTCATCGCCGCGCGTGTCTTCCACTGGACAGTACGCCTCGTCATGCGCACTTTATTTAATTGTACTGACACCCCCGACAACCTCCACTGCGATGGCATCGCTGCGAACACTTTGCCGGGCATCTTTGGCCACGTCAGGGCGTACTTGGGCGTCGTGGAAGAACAAATGCGCAAAGCTCTTCACGTCCACATGCTCATTCAATGCAATTGCCTTCGGCACTCCCGCCTCCCCCCTCCTCCTCTCCCGCGCCCCCCAGGAAGTCGACTTACTCACGTCTCGGCATCCGGGCACCCAGGTACATTCCGTCGTTGGTCTATGAAAACGTCGGAACGGGGACCTCCCAGGCGCCTTGGCACGCCCGATCGTCATCCACAGGAACAGCTTTTTCGGTGGAGGCCGTAGATCTGCGGATACGGGTCTCGCCTTCCAGTGCGCGGCCCTGTCATGTGCTCCCCGGGCCCGCGGTTCCGCCGCGCGCGCCGAACCTGGCGCCACACCCCCTTGGCCAGAGTAAAGCTCCCGTGTAAGTCGGCATGCCCGTGCCGACAATGTTGCGCGCTCCCCGCGCGCTATAGCCGCCAGAGCGCGGCGGCGGATTGCTCGGATTCTCGCACCCAGACGACCTGTTTCGAAACGGCGACTTGCAGACCACGTTCAAGCGGACTTGGCACCACGTGGCTTCCATCACTTTCCGCAGCACGGAGGCCTTCGCACACTACACGGGTTCACCGCTTGGGATGGATGCTTTGCGGCGGTTGCCTTTATTGCCGCTGACCAAGTCGCAGCGGGACAAAATTGGAAGTGTCCGTGCTGCTGCCAGCAACACCGCCCAGCAGCAAAGTCGAGGAGCTGTCGAACCAACTGCGTGCATTGGCGACGTCCCAGATTTTGCGTTCTTCCCAACGTCGTTCTCGTCCGACTCCAGCGTTGACAATGGGCAATGGGCTGCACGCGCTGTCCAAGAGGTTTTCTCTCGGACACGCAAGACAGGCAACCACGTATGCAAACCCGCAGTGTGCTACAAAGGACGCATTGGGAAAAAAGGGTTCTGTCGTATGCATTACTGGCACTGGGCTCGGCACTGCGACGAGAAGAGTGGCAGAGAGGTCGCCAAACGGCAGCATGGCTTGGAACTCCACGCTCGCTGGGATGGTCAGGGCCCGCCGCCCATTCTGCGGTGCCCGCCGCACGTCGGCTTGCCCGCCCTAGAAACGAACCACCCCTTCCACTTCCGGCTCAACCCCGCTATCATGCTGGGACCTCAGTGCAATCATGACCTGGCCGTCCTGTTACGCCTCTGCGACTTGCCCTCGACCGGGAACGGGCCTCCAGACGAATGCAAGGTACATGAGATAAAGACTGCTATGGCGGAGGCCATGGGTGACCACGAGTACTACACCTCGGCATACTCATCGAAAGCACAGCCGCACGCGGATGGACTGAAGCTGACGCTAGCCGCTTCCCTGGAGAGGAAGGAACGCGCCGCGCGCGCAGCAAGCACTTCAGCGGAGGTGGACGAGCATGAGAAAGCCAGGAAGTTGTTGCATACACTGGTTGCCGCGACGAACAACAGAATGCACAAAGGGTTCCCCGAAATGATCAGCTACTTGCTGGGGAAACCGATCGTGTACAGTAGCCATGCCTTCGTCCCCGTGTTCTTCGGCAAGCTATATGCTGGCATCCGCAGCGTGTTGTACGCCGCATCGCGTGGCGACGACATCCACGCAGACACGAAACGTGCCCGACCTTACACTACGCCAATTACCTCGACCAGGAACTTCCTCGACGAGTTCGATTACGCGCACAGGCCGGATGAGATGGAGCACTTCCCGCTGTACTTTTTCTTTGCTGCTTGCGATGCAAAGGCGTCAGTTCAGAAGAAGCCGCCGCCAGGCTCGCTGCAATGGCGCGAAGACGGCGCCCATCGCCAGAGGACAGCCACAGCCGTGGTAAGTGCCACCTATGACAAAGTTCCGCTCCGGGGCCACCCTACGTCTGCCGAACCACACGGACCGATCCTGTATCAGTACGCGTACTACGCCTCCGTGCGCCTGCATAAGCCGTGGAAGGTGCCGATCCTCTACGGCAAACTACCAGGCAGACCGCAGAGCGCAGATCTGTTGGAATAATGGTTCCTCTACGTCGTGCACATCATGATCCTCTTCCGACCGTTCCGAACTTTCCACGACTTCGTCCATCGCGCTGCGCAGCTCCCGTGGATCCACGGCGAGGAGGAGTTCCAGAAAGCGGTCGTCAACGAATTCCACAAGTGGGAGACGTCGCGGCGAGAAGCCGCCATGCAGTGCACCTCTACCACGCAACCATTGTCCGACGCTTGGTGGGCGCGCAGGGTGGAGGAGACTATTCGGAACTACGACTTCGCTTCCTCCAGGAGAGAGACAGTCAGAGATGCCTGCCCTTCGAGCGTCCAGATGCCACACCTGCCACAGTGGGCGAGCGCCGCCGCCAGCAACGCCGACGCTGCGACGCACGACCCACCTATTCATCACGCTTCGCGTATCCCGAACCAGCTCATGCAAAAACCCTGGCCAAGAGAGCTGGCCAGAGTACCGATACAGTAACACAATGTGCTGGCCTCCGGCCAGTGCAGCCGATCCGGAGCGCTCCGGATGCGCGTGGTGAAGGACGACGACCAAGACGACTATGATGACGACGACCACTACGACGACGTAGACGGATGGCCAGTGATGGGCGACCAATCGCAGCGTGTTGGAAGCAGCTTGGAGGCAGTTTGTGGGTTTCTTGTGAGGCATCGTGGAGGCCTCTTGCAGCCATCTTGGAACAAGCTTTTGAACCTCTTGGGAAGCTTTTGGATGCTTCCTGAGAGACACTTGAAGCCTCTTCGGGCCTTCGAAGGCCTTTTGAGGCCATCTTGGAAGCTCCTAAGGGCCTCTTGGGCCTTCTTGAGCCTGCCTTTTCTTGAACCCTCTCCGAATGGGAAGACGAGATTGACAGAGGAAGCGCTCTCGACCACCTCCGCCCATTGGGCTGGTCGGATCCTGATGGAATCTGACGACGACGACAACGGCAATCCAGCCGACGTACCCATGGACGACGAGGAAGCCACGGATGAACTGCCTCGCCGACCATTCCGCGCGCAAGATCCTACGAGTGTGCTCTGCGGCAGTTTCCCTGAAGGCATCGAAATGGACGACGTCATCGCCCCGGAAACGTGGCAGAAAAGCAAGGCAGCAGAGGCCAAATACATCGCCGAATTCATGCGGGACAACTCGGACCGACTGCGCGCTGCGGAGCGGCCGCCAGATTGTACTGTGGCCAGCGACGCAACTTGCATGCGCCCCGCCGCGTCGCTGGCAGCGGCAGACCGGCAATCAGAGTTTTTCAAGATGGTGGACGCTTGGAAAGCAGACTCTCACTTTCATCGACACAAGTCCCCGCAGCCAGCACCCGATGCACTTGAGAGACGACTTCGCGCTGCAATGGCTACCGGCGACGCGTCGACGTTCCCCCCTGTACCTCCGCGCACGAGGACGGCAGTGGTCGACGCGTGCCTACACCTTCTGCATAATGGAGTCTTGGATGTAGTGGACATGGAGCGCGTGAACGTCAAACAGGCCCGCGCTTTGCTCTGGAACGCGGCATGGCTACAAGATGTCATGAACCGCAGGTGGGGCTTCGATGAGCCCACGGGCCCAACGGCAACTGGACGCCCTTCATTCGCCGATGGTTTTCAGTTGGCTCTTATGGGTCCAGGCGGTACTGGGAAGACGGCGGTGCTGAGAGTCGTGGAAGCGGTGATCTGCTACTTCAACGGACCCGACACGGTTCAGAAGTGCGCGCCGTCGAACTCCGCCGCGAGGCTTCTCAAGGGTGACACGCTGCACGCTCTCTGCAAGCTGCCGTTCGGCAACGTCACCGTGACGGGCAAGAAGGGCCGCTTGACCCGATCTGTCTTAGAACAGCATCGAGATCGATGGGAGTGTGCTCTCGCGTGCTTCATCGACGAGGTGTCCATGGTTGCTGCGGCGCAACTCTTCCAGTCGGAGGTCCGATTGAAAGCCGCGAAGAATTCCGCTCAGGCATGGGGCGGCTTGGGAATGACGTTGTCCGGAGACTTCATGCAGCTCCCGCCAGTAGACCCGACGGGGGACAGCAGGAGCCTCGCCACAGACCCAGACGAAGTCGACGTCCTCAATGAAAAAGGCCCAGACGCCACAACGAAGGACGCAGACAAGAAGAGGTCCAAGCACGTGGAAACAGTGCAGGGGCTTCAACTCTGGCGGAGAGTGCGACGGGTTGTGACGCTAGACATTAACGTCCGGGCCCCTGGCCCTCTCAGCCAGCTGCTTGGAGAGATGCGTGCTGGCCACATTTCTGACGAGATGTGGGCCTTATACACCAATCGCATTCTGTCTTCCAACGACGCTCGACCGCTGGACCCGGCGTCTCCATTTGCAATGCACCCGTGGACGTACATCGTGCACAGACACAAGATTCGAGCTTATCGGTCCATGCAAAAGGCGCGACAGCAGGCTTTGCGCACGGGGCAGCGCGTGTACGTCGTCCAAGCCCGGGACGAGCCAGTTCACCCAGGGGACTCGGGAAATGACAAGCGACGTCCGCCGGGCACTCCTTCAGAAAGTAAGCCCGAAAGACACGCAGGACCTGCCCAGCTTGCTGCCCCTCTACGTCGGCATGCGCCTGACCATGTACTCGAAGGATTGCGTGCGATTGGGACTGATGAAGGGCTGCGTGTGCACGCTTCGACATATCGTCTTCGCCGACGGCGAGAGTTTCCCCGCGGACTCCCTGGACGACAATGTTGTGCACCTGCAGTACATGCCGATCACGTTATGGTTGCAAGCGGACGGCGCTGAGTGGACGCTTCCAGCGTCAGACTTGCCCGCAGACTTGCCAACGTGCACTGACAGACAGGGACTCTTCCAAATGCGGCCCACCTACGGATACCTCCGCGCCACGTGGGAAGAGGAGAACTTTTCTGTCCGCCGGACAACGTGCCGGCTACTTCCAGCGGATACCATTATAGTGCACGGCGCCCAAGGATCTGCACCCTCGGAATGGGGGCGGAACTTTGGCCACAATGCCGAACAGTAGTGCCTGCTCACGCAAAACAATAGCTGCTGTGCGCTGGGGCCCACCGGACACCACTCTTTGTCGTTCAGACAACAGTTGCTGTCCTTCTGACAGAAGTTCTAGTCCGGCGAACCACTGCTGCCGCAATCCTCTAGCCCGCGTGCAAAGGCACGTTGTTCGGCATTGTGCCCAAAGAACCGTCCCCCACTACGGGCGTGCAACAAGGTGGCACGTACCCAGCAGTGGTGGCCGACATGAAAAAGCCACCGTCGATGGACGCCGACACGCACTGGCTCGCTTGCTACGTCATGCTGTCGCGGCCCGTCTCCGTGGAAGGCTTACTCATCTTGCGCCCAGCCACGAGGCGGGAATTGTCCCGACCGCCTCCGAAATTCATCCTCGACGAAATTACCCGCCTTGCTGACATGGAGACGGCGTCGCTGGACGAATTGATTCAGATCCTGCAAGATCTGAAGGGGGAACCGTTCCCGCCTGAGATCTTGGATTCAGTTCTTGCTCAGGACGGCGCCGCCCGGCAGTCCGCCGAGGTAGCCGAATATCGGAGAGCCGGGCCAGCGCTCCGCACAGTTTCTCGGCGCACGCGCGGCAAAACGACGCCACCTGCGCCCCTGTCGAGAGTTGGAGACACGGCGGGCGTGGGCGAGGATGCTGCAGCGCAGGCGACGCCACCGTCCTCGGCGCCCCCGCTGAAGAAGCCGCGGCTGCCAAACATGGAGACGGCGCGCGCGTCGACGCCGCCCACGGTGAACGCCTCCGAGTCGGAAAGAGCAATCTGCGCGGCCGTTGGCCGCCAGTGCGCCGCCGGCGCGGGCGCGGCCCCCGCGGGGAGCACGGGCCCGCAGCCGCCCCAAGCGGCACAGCGCACCGCTGCAGCGCAGCGGAGGACGGCCCCGCTGGGAGAGCAGAGCGCCACAGCGTGCAAGCCAGACGCACACGCGGCAAGCAGCCCAAACAGTGCCGCTAACGCGAGGGAAGGTGCCGCAGATAACGACGACAACGGGAAGCGCAAGGCTGCCAGGCATTCACCCCCCCCGCGAGCGCCCTGCTCCGAGTGCGGAGAGGCTGGATGCACGCCACATTCCCCCACGTGCGCCTTCTTCTTGATCGCGCCACAGTGCGAGGCTACCTCCACTTTGCCGTGGGCTCGCGGGACCCCGTGTCCGGCATCGACGAACTTGCGCAACTACTGCGCGAAGTTCACGCGGCACGTAGCCACGGGACCCTTCGAAGTGGAAAGTGTGGAATACGGAGCTGGCGGAGATTGCCTCTACCACAGTGTCGCGGGCGTCCTCGCTCGCATGGTGCTCCACGGAGGTGGGCCGGCACGACGCATTTTAAAGAGCATCCCATCCGCAGTGTTCTTCCAGGGCTCCAACGCCACAATGCAGCACTTGCGGGCCATCTCCGCCTCGATATACAGCCAGTGGGCCCCCGAGCAGGTGCTCGACTTCGTGGTCGCTGCAGCCATGCAACAGCGCAGCAACGCCCATCTCGACGAGTGGGACCCTGCAGCGTTGCTGTCCGACTTCTGCTTCGAATGCCTTTTGCACGCTGAAAGCGTCCTGGCGTTTGAAGAGCAAGATGATGGCGACGCGCTCGTTCGCATCGCGTACACCCAGGCGCACTCTGGAGCAGGCGCCAGAGAAGAGCGCATTACGAGAATACCTGGCGGAGTCGCCAACCTAGCCCAGGTTCGAGCCAGACTCTCCCACTTCATGCGTCAGCCAGGCAACGTTCATTGGGGTACTCAAACTGACGTGCGCAGTCTAAGCGACCGCTTGGATGTGGGAATCTTACTCTTTCAGGATCGCCTACGTGGACGTGCCCGCACCTGCCTCTACAATGTGGGCGGCCAGCGAGCAGATTACCCATACTGGATCGCTTTATGGTGGGAGGAGCCGATCCATTTCCGCGGCGCGCAGCTGCGCCCACGCCCCCCAGAGTCAGACGCGCACAACAGCAACCGCCCGGACGCAACGTCCTTTTGGTCTACTGCCGATCTTCCAGCATTCCTTCGACAAGAATTCGCCGAGTGCAATCGTCTGGCGGATTGACTGACCTGATGCGGGCGGATTGACTGACCTGATGCGGGCGGATTGACTGACCCAATGCCCAGTCCATGTTTCACACCAGGCTGCTGCGACTTGCGTATCGTTCGATATGCGCCAGAGAAAGACCCCAAGAAGCTTCGAAAAAACTAAAAAAAAACACCCAGATGGCCCCAGAACGGCCCCCAAGAGTCCCAAAAGAACCCCAAGAGGCTCCAAAACGACCTCCACGAGGTTTGTGTTATCTCGAAGGGGCATACAAACAACATCTCCCGTCTTGGACTTCTCTTGGGGTCCTCTTGGGCCATCTTGGACCGATTTGAGCCGTCTTACGGCTCTCTCGAGCAACGACGGTCCACGTGCGACGACGACGACGACGAACGACGAACGATGACGCACGGCTGCAACGACGACGACGACGCCGACGGACGACGAACGGCGAACGACGAAAACGACGACGCCCAACGACGACGACGACGACGACGACGACGACGACGACGACGACGACGACGACGACGACACTGACGACAACGACATCGAACGTCGAACGACGATAATGACGACGAACGATTAACGACAACGACGAAACGTCGGACGACGACAACGACATCTCCGACGGACGACGACAACGACGAACGATGAACGAGAAAAGACGAACGACGACGACAGAGAAGGGCGACAACCACGACGACGACAACGATGACGACAACGACGAAGCCCGTCTTGAAGTTTCTTGGAGGTTCTCAACGTGACGTTCCCTGGCAAGCCCTGTAGACAAAGTGGCGCTTCCCGTTCTTGTCCGGTCAGGTTTGTGTGCGAATCCCCCTGGGGACTCCTGGCCTTGGGGCCAGCCCGGTTCAGTGCTGCGATCATCGTACTTACCATGCATTTCGAGGGAAGGAGTTGAGTCCAGGGGTGGGGGTTGATTTGGCGGGGGTTTGTCAACCGCCTTCGCGCAAACCAGCGGACGTTCTCGGCAGGTCTCGGCTGGGGTCGGGCTCCAGTGTGCGTGCGCACAGGTTTATCAACAAGGCGTTACTTGTCGTACACTTGGCTCCGTCCACCGCGGATGTGAATGCCCGTTCTGGGAGGGTGATGCCTCCGCCCCCACAAGATCTGGCCACGCGCAGAGGGGGGATGGGGGGAGGGGAGAGGGCTTCTTAGAAGCACCCCTGCTTCTTAGAAGGCGCGGGTCTTAACTATAGATGTAGGGCCTGCGCGATTCTAAGAAGCAGCCTCCTAAGAAGCCCTCCCCCCTCCCTCCACCCCCTTTGTGCGCACCGCCAACATGTGAATGTCCGTTCTGGGAGGGTGTTGCCTCCGCCCCCACAAGATGTTGAAACTCCCCCCCCGGGCTCCCGCACGCGAGCACAGAACGGCGGCCCTGGTCGCCAGGCGCCGAGCCAAAGAAGAGGCAGCGGCCCCACTCGGGACCTGACTCGGGTCGGTCCCTCTCTGCTTCTGGTGCGGTCGTTTCCCGACCCCTTGCTAGTGCCGTCCACCCGTCCATATTCGTCCTCCTCCTCCCTCTGTTCCCCTCCGTTCTCCTCCTCCTCCTCCTGCTCCTCCTCTTCTCTTTTCCCCCCAGTTTCCCTTCCTCCTTCGTCTCCTCGTACTCCTCCTCCTCATCCTCCGGCTCTTCATCCTCCTTCTTTACCCCTTCCTTCCATCTTGTTCTTCCCTCCTGCCTCTTTGTCTCTTTCTCTCCCCATGTTTCCGTACAGCCTTCGGACCAGGTGTACGGCAAGGAATGGTGCTTCGGGGCTAGCCAGGCGGCCGCTTGCCTTGCCACCGCAGGAGGAGGGCGACGACAAAAGAGTGGAGGAAGGGGAGGAGGACTGGGACGACAAAGCGGGTGAACATGAGGAGGGAGGACGGGGGAGGAGGAATGATTACGAAATAAAGACGGAGGATGCGGATGACGGGGGGTACAATATACGGAGGGTGGAGGAGGGGGGATGAGGAGGCGGTGTACCATGGAAGCGGGAAGGGGGAGGGGAGGAATAGGATGAGGAGGATGGAATTGTGATGGTGTCGATGATGCTGATGATGTTGATGTTGATGTTGATGATGCTGATGCTGCTGATGATGATGATGATGATAATGATGATGATGATAGTGGTGGTGGTGGTGATGATGATACTGATGATGATGCGGATGTTTATGAGGATGATGCTGCTGATGTTGCTGCCGATGATGATGCTGCTGATGCTGCTGCTGCCGATGATGATGATGATGATGATGATGATGATGATGATGATGATGATGATGATGATGATGATGATGCTGATGCTGATGCTGATGCTGATGCTGATGATGATGATGATGATGATGATGATGATGATGATGATGATGATGATGATGGGCAGGAGGAGTTGGAGAAGGACGATACGGAACAGGGAGGAGGAGGAGGGAGAGGAAGGGGACGCCGATTTGGAGGTGGAAGACAGCGATGATGTGGATTAGAGGAGGATGGAGATAAGGTGGATGAGGGTGGGGAGTGGGGCAGAATCCATAATTCCAAGAGGAAGAGGACGAACATGAAGTCTCGCTGGCCTAGTTCGTCCTGAAGGTCCCCTACCTTGTCGTGATATGCGTCCTTGCGGTCAGGGAGGGAGTGCGCAGTTTCTTGTCTGATGTTCTTCGTATTGTCAGGAGGAGGATGTGGCGGGGGGGAGGTAGACGAGGGAGCGCTTAGATTATGCACGTCCAGAAACAGAAGACTCGCATCTGGTGGTGCTGGTGATCCTGCTGCTCCTCTTCGTGGTCTCCGATGGGTTCGACTCTGCCCTGCCGCCAGTCTCGACCGCCGCTCCCCCCGACGATGAGAAATGCTTCGCGGCTGATGCCTCTGATTTGCGCCCACTGACTTTCTACGGGGCACTGCATCCGGGGGGTGTGGCGACCGGGCTACCTCCATCCACGATGCTGCAGGACCCTCGACCGGGCAGAACGCTCGGGGGCCCAGCTCGGAGACATACGATGTGGGGGGGGCGGGGGCGTCCATCCTCGATTGGAGTGCGTCGGAATAGTCCCTTGGGGCTTTATCCCCGAGTTTTTTCTGTGAATGTTTTTTTTTTTTTTGTTTTTTTAAGGCGCCAGTGGATGGCCCTGAATACACAAAAGGGGGGTGTGCTCGCACCCCCCCCCCCCTCCCTCCCCCCTGGCGCTGGAAAGGCGGGGGGAGGTTCGACCCCCCCCCCTCCTCCCCCCCTTTGCGCCGAACAGGGGGCTGGGGAGGGGGCCTCCCGGGGAGTGAGTAGAGAGCAGAGTGTTCTGAGCAGCGATTGGTGAGTAGTGGGTATTTGATAGTGAGTAGGGCGCAGTGAGTCGTGAGTAGTGAGTAGTGAATAGTGGGTAAGTGGTAGTGGTAGTTGTGAATATTGCGTAGAGATTAGTGAGTAGTGAGTAGTAAGGAAGGTAGTAGAAAGGAAATAGAGAGTAAGGAATTCGGAGTAGTGAGTAGTGAGGAGTGAGTAGTGTGTAGAGGGTAGTGCATAGTGAGTAGTAAGCAGAGCGTAGGGATAAGGCAGTAGTCAGTAGCGAAGAGCGAAGAGTGAGTAGTGAGAAGTGAGTAGTGCGCAGTGAGTAGAGAGAAGTGAGTAGTGAGTGGTGAGTAGCGAGTGGCGAGCAGGGGGTAGCGAGTAGGGAGTAGTGAGTAGAGAGCGGTGCGTAGCGAGTAGGGCCTTGTGAGTAGTGAGTAGTGAGGAGGGAGTAGTCAAGAGTCAGTAGTGAGTAGTGAGTAGGGAGTAGTGCGTAGCGAGTAGGGAGTAGCGAGTAGTGAGTAGTGGTAATGAGTAGTGAGTAGTGAGTAGGGAGTCGTGAGTAGTGAGTAGTGAGTAGTGCGAAGCGAAAAGTGGGTATTGAGTAGTGGGTAGTGAGCAGGGGGTTTTGGGTAGAACTTAGTGAGTCGTGAGTAGTGAGTAGTGATTAGTGAGTAATGACTTGCGACTAGTGACTAGTGAGTAGGGAGTAGGGAGTAGCGAGTAGTGCGCAGTGGGTAGTGAATAGTTCGTATTGGGTAGCGGGTAGCGGATACTGAGTCGTGAGTTGGGGGCAGTGCGTAGTGAGTAGTGAATTGTGAGTACTCAGTAGTAAGTCGTGGATAGTGGTTAGTGGGTAGTGTGGAGTGCCTAGTGAGTAGGCAGTAGTGGGCACTGAATAGTGTTTAGTGAGTAGTGAGTATTGAGTACTGAGTAGTCAGAAGTGAGTAGTGCGCTGGGAGCTGTGAGTAGGGGAGTAGGAAGTAGTTAGTGCATTGGGAGTAGCGAGTAGTGAGTAGTGCGTACTGTGTAGGGAGTAGGAAGTAGCGAGTAGTGAGTAGTGGATAGTGAGTAGTGAGTTGTTTGCAGTGAGTAGTGGGTAGTGAAGTGTGAGTACTGGATAGCGGCTAGTGGGTAGTGAGTAGTGATTTGCAATTAGTGAGTAGTGAGTGGTGAGTAGCGAGTGGCGAGCAGGGGGTAGCGAGTAGGGAGTAGTGAGTAGAGAGCGGTGCGTAGCGAGTAGGGCCTTGTGAGTAGTGAGTAGTGAGGAGGGAGTAGTCAGGAGTCAGTAGTGAGTAGTGAGTAGGGAGTAGTGCGTAGCGAGTAGGGAGTAGCGAGTAGTGAGTAGTGGTAATGAGTAGTGAGTAGTGAGTAGGGAGTCGTGAGTAGTGAGTAGTGAGTAGTGCGAAGCGAAAAGTGGGTATTGAGTAGTGGGTAGTGAGCAGGGGGTTTTGGGTAGAACTTAGTGAGTCGTGAGTAGTGAGTAGTGATTAGTGAGTAATGACTTGCGACTAGTGACTAGCGAGTAGGGAGTAGGGAGTAGCGAGTAGTGCGCAGTGGGTAGTGAATAGTTCGTATTGGGTAGCGGGTAGCGGATACTGAGTAGTGAGTTGGGGGCAGTGCGTAGTGAGTAGTGAATTGTGAGTACTCAGTAGTAAG